GGATGTTTTCCTCTTCCTCTACACCGTGGCATTGAAAAGGAATTCTCATACTGCAATATAAATCAGAAATTACTTAACAGCACTTGAGCCGCTTCTGGCTGCCTCTAACAATTACTTGTGGCAGAACTTTCAGAAGTACTTTCCTCTCTTAATTTTTTTTTTGTAGAAACTGCTGAAAATATTGGATTTTCTTGTGAACTCTTAACAGAGGAAACGGCCATCTGCTATGGGGAAGATACCAGGCAAGTGAAAACACAGAGGAGTTCGTTCAGGATTTTCAGTCTGGGACTGACCTAGCTTAAAGTTTATCCTTGACTTTTTGGTAACAGTTTCTACCTCTCTTTCCAGTGCTCTCCTTCAAACGAGGCTGGAAAACCAGAGGAACACTGCTGGATCCAGTCCACATTCCTCTCTCAGAATGAACGAGCCATTCTTCCAGGGCAGCAGAGATCGGGCTCTAATCATCACTGGCTCCTGGCTGGTATGTACAAAGGTTGTTCTTCTTTGTGTTTGGGATTTTGGGGCACCACCAGGCCACAGTGTCTCTCACTGAGGACTCTGTTCCTTTGTCTGCACCTGCAGTTCATTAAAATGCCAGAAATGGATGCTGGGAGCATAATGACCTCAGGTGTGTTGTTAGGCAGTGCCTGGAGTAGGACTGGAAATGGTGCAGAAGGGAACACAGTAAGTTTTCTATTTTTCACAGAATGAAATCCTGCTGGAGAAGAAAAAGAAGAAAAAGAAACTGAAACTGAAGTTCCCCAGAACAGCAGAAGAGAAGAAAAAACAAACTGAGAAAAGGAGAAGGGCAGAGGCCTACAAGGAGCAGCAGCAGAAGAACTTTGTTGATCTGGCCTGTGAGTGCAGGGCTGTGATCTGCTGCCGTGTGACACCTAAGCAGAAGGCCATGGTGGTGGAGCTGGTGAAGAAGTACAAGAAGGCCATCACCCTGGCCATCGGGGACGGGGCCAATGATGTGAACATGATCAAAAGTAAGGCGGCTGTCAAGCTCTCCCGCTAGGACAGATCTCCTCTGGCCTGCTCCTGCGGTCTCTCCACTGTCCCTCTCTGTCAGAAGACTCTTCCATCTGCTTTGCTGCCGTGGGGCTTTTAGCTTCTGTGCCTGTTTCCCTTTCTGAAGGAAGCACTTTAGGAAATGGTTAGTGGTTTTTCCTGATCTATTTTTTTTTTTCTTTAGACTTTCCCTGAGCAGGAATCTGTGTGTTACAGAATTGTAATATAAAGACCAAAGCAGTAGCTTGGCTGCCCCTTGCCTGGTGGCATTAGCCATCCCAGATTGTACCTGCTCTGCTTTCCAAGAGATGCAAATGAAGAAAAAATGTCTAGGATAGGGTTTATGTCCCCAGGGTGTTTGTAAACTGCCTGGCCAGTGTGTTCAGGACTTTACTCACTCTGTCTCATTGCTTGGTTCTCCTTTGGTCAAATTTCCCAGGTGTGTTCTGACAGAACAAGCACTGAGAGAGTCCAAGTGACAGTAGAAATGGCCCCGATCATGTTCCTGTCCCTTTGTCTAACCTAGTGTATGGTGTTTGTCTCCTTCACCCAGCTGCCCACATTGGAGTTGGGATCAGTGGCCAGGAGGGGATGCAGGCTGTCATGTCGAGTGACTACTCCTTCGGACAGTTCCGCTACCTCCAGCGGCTGCTGCTGGTCCACGGGCGCTGGTCGTACATCAGGATGTGCAAGTTTCTGAGATACTTCTTCTACAAAAACTTCGCTTTCACACTGGTCCACATCTGGTACTCATTCTTCAATGGCTTCTCTGCCCAGGTAGGAAGGTGTGCTCGTGGGATAACAACAAGCAGATGCTTCTGTCAGCGTGGAACAGCAAAAGCTTAACCTGGCAAGTGTCAGGAACGTGAAGTTGTCACCAGTGATTTCTGCAAGAGGATGTGATGAGTACTGAACGAGTTAGTTACAAGCAGTTAGGTATGATTCCAGAGCACTACAGCCAGGATCATTGTTATACAGAGAGGAAGATTTGGAAGGAGTGGGGCAGCTTAAGAGAGACTAAAGAACTTCAGCAGAGCCTTGAGCCAAGGTGCTGCTGCCTTTAGGTGAACACTGAGACAGTGTTCACCCAAACACTGAACTTAAAGCTTTAGTAAGAGCACATGTGAGTTTTCTCAGGAACTGGAGGGAAGAATGTAATAAAATGAAATCACTAAGTCCTGCAATTCCCCCTCTGTTGCAGACAGCCTACGAGGACTGGTTCATCACGCTGTACAACGTGCTGTATTCGAGCCTCCCGGTCCTGCTCGTTGGCTTGCTCGACCAGGTATCCCCATGTTGTTACAACAGATGAATCCAAAGGCACCTACCACATGGTCTTTAAGCTACACTGTCCATGAAAAAAAGAGGGGTTTGGTTTTGTGGCTTTTAAGAATGTCTTCCTTCTGCATTACTCTGTGCAAATCCCGGCTACTGGAGAGAGAAAGGGATCCGCCATTCCCTTTGGGAATGTATAGTTCAGCTTCTCACTCTCCAAAGCTCAGGCTTACAACAACAATTCACAACTTTATTTTTTTCTTCTTTATTAAGGATGTGAGTGACAAACTGAGCCTTCGGTTCCCCCGACTTTATGTTTTGGGTCAGAGAGATTTACTTTTCAACTACAAGAAGTTCTTTGTGAGTTTGCTCCATGGTGCTGTAACTTCACTGATCATCTTCTTCATCCCGTATGGAGCCTACCTTAAATCTATGGGACAAGATGGAGAAGCCCCTGCAGATTATCAGTCCTTTGCTGTCACAGCTGCATCCTCTCTGATATTTGTTGTCAATTTTCAGGCAAGTAAGCTTTGTTCCCTGAGCTCTAGTGTTCTGGGAACGCTTTCTGCTCACTGTTCAAATTTCTCTACTAGCAAGGTAACGACATGCAAAAAGTAGTTGACATTATTTAGAATTAAGAAACTAATTTGGCACTTTTGTTTGCTTTTAGATTGGCCTGGATACATCTTACTGGACTTTTGTTAATGCTTTTTCAGTATTTGGGAGTATTGCACTTTACTTTGGGATCACATTTGACCTTCACAGTGCTGGAATCCATGTTCTCTTCCCTTCTGGCTTTCAGTTCACAGGTCAGTCCTCATGTTTTGTGGTTCTCAGTCCTGCCTCTTGTAGCTTTGTCATAAATTAACTTTTGCTCCTTTTATTCCCAGGAACTGCTCCGAATGCTCTGCGGCAGCCATACCTTTGGCTTACCATGATTTTATCTATTGCTATTTGCTTACTGCCTGTAGTGGCACAGCGCTTCTTATCCATGACAATCTGGCCTTCAGAGAGCGATAAAGTGAGTGAAATCTGTTATTTGGGTGAATATGGCAAGTGTTTATTTACAGGGGCTGGTGTCAGTGCTGAGGTGTGGGCTAGTGGAAGGTGTCCTTGCCCATGGCAGGGGGTGGGATGAGATGGCCATTAAGGGCCATTCCAACCCAAGCCATTCTGGGATTTTATGATAATGGTAGAGACGAGTAAGTGATGGTGCTCTTGGGAGAGGAACACAAGCCTGGCTTGGGTCCTGTGGGCAGAGGAGTGGCCGCAGGGCTGGCCAGAGGCAGCAGCTCAGTGGAGGCTATTTCCTCATATGCCTGGCTGAGATCTGGTGTTGTCATTGAGACCCCATAAGGCTGCTTAGGACCCCAGTTTGGGTTTAATTTAGGCTGGGCTGGAGTGCCAGGGTTACATGTCAAGAGCGTAGGGGATAGATTTGGCTACTTCTGCTCTGCCTTGAGCCGGCACACAGCACACAGCTCTGAAAACAGATCAGCTGTGTTGATGATGTCCTAATGGACGACCGTGCGTTTGCGTGCGTGCAGATCCAGAGGAACCGCAGGAAGTACCTGCTGGAGGAGCAGCACTGGAAGCGGCGGCAGAGCGCATTCCGCCGCGGTGTGTCCGCCCGCCGCTCCGCCTACGCCTTCTCCCACCAGCGCGGCTATGCCGACCTGATCGCCTCGGGGCGCAGCATCCGCAAGCGGCGCGCCCCGCTGGACGCCGTGCTGGCCGGCGGCGGCCCGGCCCCCGGGCACAAGCGGGAGACGAGCTGATGCACGGACTGCCTGCTGCGAGCAGCTGTTCCTCACAGCGACTGCACAGAACTGTTCTGGACAAACTCAGGATCTTTTTAAACCGCCTGCCGTAAGGATGTGAAGGTTTTTATGTCTTATCGCAGAAGTTTCTGGGTTTGGACTCCTGGGAGCACAGAAGGGCCAAGAGTTCCCAGTGGAGCTACTGATCCTTGTGTCGGCGCTCTGTATGTCAGTGAAGGAGACACGTGCTGGGAATGGAAACCCAGCAGTGTCCGTTTTTAGTGATGCCTGGAATCACAGACTTTTCACTTTTTAATACTATGTTGGTATAAAACTATCTACATTTCATACTTGTCATTGAAAGGGATTTCGCTTGTGTGCTCTATTTCATTAACTGCTCAGACATGATGGCACATGGGATGCTGAGCCCTGGAGAGGGCTCTGGATGCTCCCATCAGAGTTGTCACAGCTGAGCTGGGATGTCATTGGTGATAAATTCCAGCCAGTGTCAGACTGGTTTAGGAATCAGGACAGATCTTAGCTCTGGAAGCTGCCCCTGGAGCTGGCACAAGCTATTCATTTCAGTTCTGGACACAGTCAGTGATGGATAACTAGAAATCAGTCACTTTCATGGGATGTGTTTCAGTTGCTGGTGCCTCAGTTCTTACAGTGTAAAAAGTGGTTTTATGAGTCTCTTTACATTTGCACATTCTTCACTCAAGCTGAGGTGTTTGAGTGATTCGCTTTTATGTACTTCCCCCTCCCGAACTAAAACTAATTATTGAAATGGTTTTATAGTTAAAAATATGACCTGCAGCTCTCATTCAATGGAACGTACATTTCAAAAGCGTGATGCAAATAAATACCCGAAAGCCTACTTCCTTGCAGAGTCCGGGTGTGAGGCGGGACCGCGCCCGGTGTCAGCGCTGCGGGGAGGAGCGGCCCGCGCGGCCCCGCCCGTGCGCGCAGGGGGAAGGGGCGGAAGGGCAGGGCCGGGCGGCTGGCTGACGCAAGGCGACCGCGGCTTGGCTCAGCCCGCCCGTGATGCACTTCCTGCGCCGCGGCCATGGCGGGGGACGTGCTGGGCAGGACGGCGGCGCTGACCCTCGGTGAGAGCCCGGGGCTCCGGCCCCCCACCCCCTCATCCTCGCACCCGCCTGCGCCGGGGGCCCGGGCCCGGCGGCGCTGCGGCTGGCGCGCACCGGGAGCGGCCGCAGCGCCGGGCCCGCCGGGCCGGGCCCTCCCCGAGCGCGGGAGGCTTCGCTGCGCTTCTCGTGTCGCTCCCGGCCATGGCCGAGCCGGGCGCTGCTCCGGCTGCTCCCCAGGCCCCATCTCCCTGCTTGCCTGCTCCGAGCTCTTCCCGGGAAGGGCTGCTCCCGGTTCCCGAGCTGCAGCCCGTGGCCCCCGAGGGTTCGGTACCTCGGGAGCCCTTGAGATTTTAGCGAACACACTGCATGGACTGACTTTTTAAATGAAATATATAAAATAATTCTTATTCTGACTGACCAGCTGGTGTCTTTGCAGGTTTATCACTGCTGATAACCATCAAGATTTAGTATAATAGAAAGTCTTGGGTTGGAAGAGGTCTTTAAAGATCACCCTGTCCAGCCCCCTGCAGTGAGCAGGGCCATATCCGTGTGTGTCCAGTTTCCTTCTCATAATTTTTTTTTGAGTAATTGCTCGTATTTGTCATGTATCCCAGAAGAGCTATATGTGTCTGAACGAGAGGGCAACGACTCCACGGGTGATGGGACGCAAAAGAAGCCATTCAAGACTGTGTTGAAGGTGAGTGTGGAAAACACATGCTTTGTTTGGCAGTGTGGAATGTGTTTTGGGGCAAGTGATAGCCCTTGTATTTTTAAATGTGAGTTTCATACTTGCTTTTGCAACCTGAGCAGGACCAAAGTGCTTGCTCAGGCTCTATAAGGATGATTTTGGCTCATTTTGGTTATTTCCCCTCCCATTTTTAGGCGTTGATGACAGCAGGAAAAGAGCCATTTCCTACAATTTATGTGGATTCCCAAAAAGAAAATGAGGTGCTGTGGCATTGAAGGGTTTCCTAGTGGGACTTATTTACTGCTTCTTGGTGTGAAGGGACACAATATAAACTGCTGTCTTTTGGTCTCTCCTTGAATTCTTTAGAGATGGGCCATCATTTCCAAATCACAGATGAAGAATGTCAAAAAGCTATGGCACAGGGAGCAAATGAAAAATGAAGCTAAGGAGAAGAAGGAGGTAGGTTGCAGAAGGAGCAGAGCATTATTGTTTTCCAAAGACATTACAGTGTCATCCATCATTCCTGCCCCTCCTAAAGAGCTGCAGGTTGTTCCTCACTGGTGCTGTTGTTTCACATGTTATTTACAGCTGGCCTGGTTACAGCTATTTAATAAGTTACTTTTTTCAAACCAGGCAGAAGATCTCTTGAGAAGAGAGAAGAACTTGGAGGAAGCCAAGAAGGTTGTTATCAAGAATGATCCCAGTCTTCCAGAGCCCACATGTGTGAGTATGATCCTGTGCCTTGGCACATAGTCTGTGCTAGGGCATCTGGCCAGCACAGAGATTGTGCTGCTCTGAGGTGGGGTCTGGATCAACTCTAAGAGGTGGTGAGCCACTCCCCTATTTAATGGCTTTTATTCTCTGCCTCACAGGTGAAGATCAAGGCCCTGGAGGCTTACAGAGGGCAGAGAGTGAAGATTTTTGGCTGGATCCACAGATTACGGAGGCAAGGTAAAGCACAAGCATTGTTGAGCCCGTGCAGGGAAATAGAACAAATAGAGTGGCCTTCAAAATTTGGACACAGAATGAGTCTGACAGCACCTGGTCTCAAATTTTTAAACCAGTTAGGTGCCTTCTTTGGCTGATCTCAATGATCACTGCAACACTGACAGTTCCCCCTAATGTGTGGACAGACATTTCTTAGTTCAAATCCTAAGGGATTTTCAGTTTGGAGGCTAGTCCTGCAGAATTTCCTCAATTTCTGTGTTTTAAGCTACAACTGCCAAATGATGAGCTAACCAGCACCTGCTCATACTGAAACCAAATTCCTTCTCTCTTTAACTAGGGAAAAATCTGATGTTTATTGTCCTGAGAGATGGCACAGGGTTTCTTCAGTGTGTCCTTTCTGATGAGCTGGTAGGTTGTGATGATTGTGTTCTGGCGTGAATTGAAGAGTTCATACCTCATCTGGTGTTCTCTTATGTAGGTGTTGTTAAGTTCTCCTCAGTCTACTGTCTCAGTTGTGTTACTGTTAAATCGTGTGTCCTGCCACTGCAGTTTGTCAGTGCGGGAGCTGTTTAGCAGTGACTGCATGCTAAACGAAAAACTTTTAGGAATGAAAACTTGCTCACCTCTGCCTTTGTCTCGCTGCAGTGCCAGTGCTACAACGGGCTGGTGCTGTCCACGGAGAGCAGTGTGGTGGTGTACGGCACGCTGAACCTCCTGCCCCAGGGCAAGCAGGTACAGGAGCTCCTGTGGCTTCTCCTCCTCCCCCGTGGGCCATTGGTGTCCTGAGGGAGGCACAAGCAGAGGTGGGAGGAATCACTGGATTATTTCAGAGGGAATTAGGGCTAGAGAAAGAACAAAGCTGTGCTGTCCAGTGTGAGACAGGTGAACTGTGTGACTGTTCTCATTCTGCCTGAAACGATCTTCCACTGATTTTCCACTAGGAGCCAGACAGCTCCTAGACTATAACATGGAGAGCTATGTTAAATAAATGGCATAGCTTCATTTTCCTTAACAGGTCTATTCAGTTTTTATTTTGTGGGGCTAAGAATTTTTTCACATCTCTTTTACTGAGGTGTGTTTGTAGGATCGACCCAAGGTTAGGTAGTGTGAGCCCTCACTATCACCTTTGGGTAATACTCTGTGGGTTAGCCTTTGAAAATCTGCATTTCTACTCAGAAAAGTGCAATGAATTGAAATGGTTTTAGTTCAGCTTGCAGGCTGAACTACTAGTGCCAATTGTCAGGGGTGGAAGGCGGCTGTGATGCACACAGGAGCTAGTGAGAGCAGAGCTCTGTCACAGACTGGATTGGAAGGGCCTTGCAGCCCATCCAGTGCCACCCCTGCCACGGGCAGGGGCATCTTCCGCTATCCCAGATGGTTCTGAGCCCTGTCCAGCCCGGCTTTGGACACTACCAGGGGTGAGGCAGCCACAGCTTCCTGGGGCGGCCTGTGCCAGGGCTCACACCCTCACAGGGAAGAATGCCTAATATCTCATCTCCCCTGCCCTCAGTCCATGGGAAGCCGGTCCCCCTTGTTCCATCACTCCAAGCTTTTGTGAAAAGACATCCAAGGGGTAAGCAGTGGACTTTTTCCCCAGCGTTTGTTTCTCTCCCATTGGCAGGCTCCAGGAGGCCACGAGCTGAGCTGTGATTACTGGGAGCTCATCGGCCTGGCCCCAGCAGGAGGGGCTGACAATCTACTCAACGAGGACTCAGAGGTGGATGTGCAGCTCAACAACAGGCACATGATGATTCGAGGTGAGAACATGTCCAAAATCTTCAAGGTGCGCTCCATGGTCGTGCAGGCCTTCAGGGATCACTTCTTTGCCAACGGATATTATGAAGTAAGTGTGTGTGTTCCCTGGTCAGCAGGTGACTGCTCTAGTGCCCTGGCTCATCCATGTCCTCAGTTCTTCACCCAAGCAGTGACAGCCCTGTTCTCCTGCAGGTCACGCCACCAACCTTAGTGCAGACCCAGGTGGAGGGAGGCTCCACCCTGTTCAAGCTGGATTACTTCGGTGAAGAGGCATACCTGACCCAGTCATCCCAGCTCTACCTGGAGACCTGCCTACCAGCTCTGGGAGATGTCTTCTGTATTGCTCAGTCCTACAGAGCTGAGCAGTCCAGGACCCGCAGGCACCTGGCAGAGTATGGACAGTTGTCCTTGTTTCTTTTTAAACAGTTAAATTTCCTTTACAGTGCAGGAGTAAAAGGGGGTCAAATGTGTGTGTTTGGGTTGTGGGTTTTTAGATGAGTTAGTTTCATTGCTAAAAATCTGTTGTTTGTATGTGGCTTTGTTTCAGGTACACGCACATTGAAGCTGAATGTCCTTTTATAAGTTTTGAGGATTTGTTGGACCGTCTGGAGAATCTGGTGTGTGATGTCGTAGACAGAGTCTTGAAATCACCTGCAGCAACCTTACTGTACGACCTCAACCCGGTAGGCAGCAATGGCAATAGCCAAGAAAATAGGATCTTAAGCCTTTCCTACTCAGCACATTCTTTTGGGAGATGCAGGGCATGGCAGTGAGCTTACTTACTATTTGTAATGGCAAGAAGAATATTAAACATAATAAGAATGAAAGAACTGCAAGGCTGGTAAAGACCAAAACAGGGAACTGTGGGGGAAGATATTCCCTGACAGTGTGCTCCAGAAACCAGCAGTGTGCCAGGATTTATGGGAGTGTCTGCTGTGCCAGTGAAATAAAACCCTCCATCCCAGAGATCGGATATTGACTGGCTGGTACATGCTGATGGAGCGTGAGGGAGCGATGAAACAAGTGGTGTTTCAGTTCCTCCCCTGGGACATGGAGCCCTAAAGCTCTGGAAATACTTCTATCTTTCCTCCTAGGTGATCTATGAGATTTACTGGGCTTGAGATGGTTATGTTTGTTTCTAGCTTTGTAGTACAGAGCTTGATTTGTTCATTTAAGTGATAATTTGATGATCTGGGAGATGGGAAAGGTCATGTGCTGATCAGCTAGAAAAATACTCCTTTTAAAATGGTGCTCCTCCACCTGTCTGTGCTCTTATCCACAGGGTTTCCAGCCCCCCAGACGTCCCTTCCGACGCATGAACTATGCTGAAGCCATCGAGTGGCTGAAGGAACATGATGTGAAGAAGGAAGACGGCACTTACTATGAGTTTGGGGAGGTATGTCCTGCTGGGACCTGGAGTAATGCAGCTGTAGGTTGTGATTTGATCTGATGCCCTTTAACATTAACCTGTGTTGTCACCTGTCATCAATTCCCTGGCCACACTTCTCCAGCATGTGCGACACTTTGTTTGAAGGAGCTCAGGAGAACTTGACAGCCTAGCCAGGATTTTTTTTCCCCTCGGCTTTCTGTCTTATATATTGGGGAGACTTAGATTTTAATTGAACAATTTTTTTTTCCCCCAGACATGTGGGTTATTATTTCTTCTAAAATAAGTTTGTTTTAAGAATTTAGGTACATTAGGATGAAAGTGTGGACATGAGCAGTCTGAAACTGTCCTGTTTCATGCCTGCTTCACGTGGGACTTGGGTATGGGTATGGTTTTGGCGCTGAGTATGAATAAAGCCTGCTCTAACCCTAGGACATTCCCGAAGCTCCTGAGAGACTGATGACAGACACCATTAACGAGCCCATTCTGCTGTGCCGGTTCCCTGCAGAGATCAAGTCTTTCTACATGCAGCGCTGCAGCGACGACTCGCGCCTCACCGAGTCTGTGAGTCATTTTACCTGCTGGGGTAGCTTGGAGCAGTGCGGACGTTGGAGGGCACGAGTGCTGTGGGAAACATCTTGGGGAATCCTTGCCAGGCTTTGCTCCGGGTGCCTTGGCACGACTGTCTCGGGCTGTGCGCGTTCCCTGTGCGGCAGCGTTGCCGTAATGGGGCCGTGCTGTGTGCGCTGCAGGTGGATGTGCTGATGCCCAACGTGGGCGAGATCGTCGGCGGCTCCATGCGCACTTGGGACAGCGAGGAGCTGCTCGAGGGCTACAAGAGAGAGGGCATCGATCCCACACCCTACTACTGGTACACGGATCAGGTCAGTACAGCAGCCATGCTGCAGGGCTCAGACGGGAGCTGGGGCTTCTCCCCTCTTACAGAGGTTGGCAGCTTTTGTTTCTGGTGGTATTACTGCAGCTACAAATTGCTAGAAAATGTGTAATACCCCCTCCCTGGATTTCACAGAGAAAATACGGTACGTGCCCTCATGGAGGATACGGTTTGGGATTGGAGCGGTTCCTGACCTGGATTCTGAACAGACACCATATCCGAGATGTCTGTCTCTATCCACGCTTTGTCCAGCGCTGCAAACCTTAGTCGTCCTTGGGAAAAATTCCTGGAAAACTGAGCAGCTGATGCTTGGGAAAGAATGATACACGCTGCTGTACTACAGCCTGTCTGACAACAAGACTTCCTGCAACCTGTTGCTAATTCAAATACCACTTTAGGATGTGAAAAGGAAACAAACAAAACTTCTTTTTTTAAAACAAAATACTAGTAATTAACTGGAAAAAGCCTTGGAAAAATTGTTTAGGTGCATTTATGCTCTTGAGTCATCACAAAACAAAGATCTTGATAAGCTGGCATTTAGAAAACAAGATACACTTCTGCTTTTAAATTCTGTGACTTAAAATATGCTGGGCATTTGATCATTTTATTTTTAAATTTGCTTTAATTTTAATCACTTTTCTCTTGGGGTTTCTGTTGGGGAAGTCAGGAGTTCAAGCTCCTGAAATTCCCTAAGAGCACCCTGTGAGAATGTTACGGAGAGGCATGAACAAAGGGTAAAAATGGGAATAAGTATCTTGAGCACTGCACGGTTTTAGTTCCTGCTGATTTTAATGGGGGTTCTCTGAGTTGATTCAGTAGCAGGGTGTGTAGTACAGTGCACAGAACTCCACTGTGGGAGAGGTGGGTTGGGTCTGGGGCTTTGGGGTTTTTTTCAGATTATTTATTGCTCAGCAGGGCTGAGGCTGGCAAGGTAGGCTTTGCTCCCTTTCCCAAGAGCTGTGGATGCAGCGCTGCCGTGGGTCCATGTACACCCAGCTGGACGTGCCTGATGGCTCCTGGGCATGGGGGGTTGTGGTGCCTTTTGCTCCCTGTTTGCAACCAGAAATGAGTGACTGAGACCCGGAGGAACATAACTGAAACACACTGGGTTTTCAGACTGCAGTCCCAGCAGTGCTTTCCCATGTCACGCTGAAGTGTGTTCATCGAGCAGCTCCCTGTCCCTGTGCTACTGCAGCTGAGCAGCTTCCCTGACTGTAAGGAACTTATCAAATAGGGATAATGAAATATTTCATGTGTTGAGTCATCGGTATCGTTTCTATTCGTAAAGCAATTCCTTTACCAGAGAGAAAAGTAAAGGTAGGTGCATCATTTACCACCTGCACTGAGGTTTGAGCTGGATTTGCCATTCACTCCTGGAATTGTTGAGCTGTGGATACCTACATTTTTGTAATAAGTGATTGGTTTTATTCGTCTGCATGTTATATAAACTGGTCTAAATCAGCAACCAATAAATTATGGCAACAGAAGCTGGTGTGCAAGATAATACTTGACATTAATGCCTGTTCTTTTACTGAGTCTGTGGAGCTTGCTGCTTGATACAGTGTGGACAAAAACCCAGGAAAAGGGAATTTTCAAGTGCAGTAAACATATCCCAAGAACTATTGTGAGCTTTTTTTCCCTTTCCAAACAAAATCCCCACTAATTAACTTAAAAGCATGAATTTTTCTAATTTGGAGGGACCACTTCAGCTGCCCAGTGAAATGTGCTGGAGAGAAACAATGTGGTGCTGACTGAGGTTGCAGAGGCAGCAGTGCTGAGGGGAGCAGCCTGGACTTCTGGCACCAGGTAAAGACTTTATAAAATACTTTCCTTTTAGTGCCTGAAGTGATGGGAAGGGAGAAGTGTCAGGAAAATAGGCTTCATGAAAAACATCCCGTGTTTGGGGCAAGTTCTCAGTCCTTAAACCTGACAGGGCTGAGCTGCTTTGTAAAGGTTAAAGGCCTCCTTATCAGGGGAGCTGCTAGAGAAAGGGCTGGGGACTTAAGAAGTGCTCATGGAAGAGGCAGATCAGATAAGGAGCTTAAAAGGTGACCCGGATGAAAGATGCTGTGGAACTTACCAGAGGCTGCTGTGCAAATCCCAACAGGAGCTGGTGCAGAGAGGTGGGGTGGGATCTGGGAAGGATGCTGCAGCTGCTTGGAGCACAAGAGAACCTGCCTTTTTTTTTTATTATTATTAGAAAGAGAAAAACCTGCAGAAGAGAAAAAAATGTGTAATCAGAACTTGAGTCTCCTCATCCTCACTTTCATTTTCTTTCACAGTGTTTCCAGGCAGATCGGTTAAATGGATTAGGAACTGGTAAACTGGGCTGCCAGCACTGGTTTCAGGACCTTTCAGCCATGTCCCTGGCTTTGGCATAACTATCCTTTAGCTTTGATTAGATTACCACTCCTTACATGCACTATTTTATATTTATCTGTGTTAAATATTACCTGGCCCCGCTTTGTAAGGCACTTCTGAGGAGAACACAGTTCTGCCAGCCTTTGTCACCAAGAGCTGGCTCTGCCCTTGGCCTGCTGAGACGGGGATGCAAGCCACCCACATGTGCAGGGTAAGCGCTGTGGTGTTTGTTCCTTTGTGTTTAAATCGCAGTATTATTATCGTAGAATCATCAAGTGCAACCACCAACCGAGCACTACCTCTGGAATTCCTAAACCACCAAACCGCATCACCCAGTGCCAGATGCAGATACCTTTGAAACACCTCCAGGGATGGTGACTCCGCCACCTCCCTGGGCAACTGTCTCCAGTGCCTGAATTCCAGAGGCTGAATTCCTACCCGGAATGGAGGTTACCAGGTGAGCTCCGTGCTCCTGCACCAATGTGTGACGGGGTGCAGAACCGAACCCTCATCTCTCATGAGGCGCGTGCTGAGAAAGTCCCCAACATTTTTTATCATTTAAAGCATTTTTTAAAGCGTTTTAAATAACATTTAAAATCTCTTTTTATAAGATTTTGTAGTTTTAAAACTTTTAGCAGTTTAGAGCGTCACTTCAAAGCGGGGATCACTTGCCTTCACTCCGTAGGAGTCCCCGGGGGCTGCGGAGGGGGGGGTCCAGGGCAGCGCCGCTTGCGGGACACCGCCGCAGGACCGCCCCCGGTGCCGGGGCGGTACCGGGGCGGTACCGGGGCGGTACCGGGGGCGGTGTGAGGCGAGGGGCGGTGGCAGCGCTGTCTGAGGGAATGCGGGCGGCCAAGATGGCCGCCGCCGCCGCCGCCGCCGGGCGTCACCGTGAGTGTGAGGGCGCCGCCGCGATGGCGGGAACGGGGGGCGGCGGGCGGCCTGAAGGCCGACCGGACACCGCGGGGACCGCGCGGGCGGGAGCGCGGCGGCGCCGCCGCCGGCCCCGCGTTACACAACGCCCGAGAGGCGCCTTTCATAACGCTGACGGCGCTGGGGCCGTGCGACCGGCGGGGCCGGCGGGCTTACCGGGGCTGCGGGAGGGCCGCGCGCGGTGATGGCGGCTTCCCGCCGCTGCGCTGAGGGCGCTGCGCTGAGGGCGCTGAGGGCTCTGAGGGCGCTGCGCTGAGGGCGCTGAGGGCGCTGCGCTGAGGGCGCTGAGGGCTCTGAGGGCTCTGAGGGCGCTGCGCTGAGGGCTCTGAGGGCGTTAAGCTGAGGGCGCTGCGCTGAGGGCTCTGCGCTGCGGGCTCTGCGCTGCGGGCGCTGCGCTGAGGGCGCTGCCAGCGGAGCGCGCGCGCCCCTGCTCCGCCAGCCCGGCCGCGGCGCTTCTAAAACATAGGAGAGAACGCTTTTACCGATGCTTCATCCAGCCGGGATCATCCTCCTTGCGTGTCTCGTTCTGCACTGTGTCTGCCCTTCATGATGCAGGTGGAAACGTGCCATAAACCTCACTCTAAGTCAGACAGTGGCAGAATGTCCTGAGTTGGGAGGGACTCCTGGTCATTGATCAACTCCTGGCACTGCACAGGACACCCCAGCAATCTTATCCTGTGCCCGAGAGTGTTATCCAAGTGCTCCTGGAGCTCTGGCAGCCTTGGGGCTGTGACTGTTCCCTGGGGAGCCTTGTCAGTGCCCAGCCACACTCTGGGCCAAGAACAAAAGTTCTTACAATGCAGAAGTATCAATGCAGCCATTGAAGCTTTCTTTTTTATTGTTCTCTGTAATTGGCATATAGTGCCAGCACCTCAGAAAGTAATAACCCAAGAACTGGAAGTAAAAAAGGATTATTTGAAAAGGACCTTTCAGGCATCAGCGATGCTTGAAGTGCTTTAGTTTGCAGCCTTTTGTATCAGTGCAGACGCAGGCATCCACAGCTACGCACTCGTAATCCCGAGTAAGAGGCTGGATTTGCAGGATGCATTTCATTGCCATTGATTTCAGCAGGTTTTGAGGCTGTTCAGTGTCTGTTCAGGAGGTTATTAGAGAACTGTGAGCTGTAAGATGCTCTTCCCAGCAGGTGGGTTGGCTGCTGAGGAGCTCTGTGCTGTTGGGGCTCAATTGCTGCTGAGCTCCTGTGGTCTGACAGGGGAAATGTCGCACTGAACAATTGCCGGAGAGACAGGGATGCAGGATTTAACCTTCTTTTTTTTTTTTTTCCTCCATGAGCAATTCACGCTATTTTTGTGCTAAAAGAATACCATGTAATGATGATGAACTCCTGAGGAGTACGAAGTGTGCCTTTGGAAAGGCAGGCTGTAACCAGCATGGAATTGTATGGAATAGGCTGAAAGGAACCTTAAGGATAATCTAATTGTGTTCAGCTGCAGGGCCCCTGACATAACGATGTGGAGATGCTGGAGTGAATCCAGAGAAGGCCACAGAGATGTTCCAGGGCTGGAGCCCCTCTGCTCTGGAGGCAGCCTGGGAGAGCTGTGGGTGTTTAGCCTGGAGAAGAGAAGGATCCAGGGAGAGCTCAGAGCCCTTTCCAGTGGCTAAACGGGCTCCAGGAGAGCTGCAGAGGGAGGTGGATGTGCACAGACTTGTGAAATCCTGGAGTTTGTGTGATGCTGAAATCCAGATTAATAGCCTCACCTGGCTGGGTAGTGAGAAAGAAGGTGGCCCAAATCTCCAGGGAAATGGATTCTGGAGTTGCTGCTCGGTGTTCAAAGAGGAGCAGATGTCTAACCTACATTATAGACATGTGGAAATCCTGCCCTTGTCTGGGGTTAGCCCAGGTGTGTCTGACCCACGAGGAGTGACACAGTCTGACACTCAATCCTCAGGGTCAGCCCTTTGTTTCTGCTCTGTTGTCACCAGTTATTTTGGAGTTATGGTTGGAACTCAGACTAGCAAGGCTTTGGTTCGGGTTTTGGTTGCTGCCTGGTAGCTGCAGAGCTGTAAGTACAGAGTGTTCAGAGCAAGGCAGAAGCTTGTGACTCCCTGACTCGCTTTGGCTGCAGGAGCCGGAGCTCGCCGTGCTGGCCGCGTTTGCGGTGCGTGCTGCGGGGATCAGCTGCCGTGTCCCCTCAGCAGCAGCTGAGCTCTGTGTTGTCTCTCCGCAGTGCTGAGGAGCCGCAGCCAGCTGCGGGTGCCGCTGCGATGGAGAGGCCAGGCCACGGCGGCCGCGGTGACGGAGAGCGCCAAGCCGCAGGTCCAGCCCCAGGAGCGGTGGGTGTGCGCCGGGGCCGTGCCCGGTGCCTGTCCCCGATAGCGGCCGCGGGGCTGGCTCCGCTCTGCCCGTGCGAGATTGCTTATCTGCCTGCCTGCACCCACCGGCTCGTGTGCTGCGGGCAAGGGCAGCCTCCTTACCATTATTGTTTCAAGTTCTGGTTCCTGCTGCCTGGGTTTCTTTCAGCAGCCTTCTGAGACACGCTCCGGCAGAAAGGGAATGGAAGCTGAGGTCCCGAAACATCGGGGCAGGCCTGGGCTCCCCTCAGTGCCCTGTTGTGAGACTAGCTTTGACTAAAGGGCAAAGCTCCCTGTGCAACCTGAACCATCATCTGCTGGGGAAGTGAGGTCCTGGTCTGTGGGCTCCCTTGGGCAGGGGAAACAGTTCCATGGGGAAATTGGGTGAGAGTTGTGATCAGCAGCCGTTCTGTAAATGCTGATACCACCATCTGTGCTGCTGTGCCATGTGGGACGTTATCCTTACAACAGTGTGCCACCCGGATAGAAAATCCATTCTGGAAAAACCCAATCCAAACACAACTGGCCCTACAATGAATTTGTGTGTAGAAGGGCTTCTTGCTGCTGTCACTGCTGCAGGAGATGAGATGTGTCCCCACAGTAGTGAAGAGAGACTTGTGTGAGTGGCTCATCTGCTTTCCAGGGAAGCTGCTGCTTGGTTTGGTTTGATTGCGCAGCTGAGATCCGGTTTTATAACCTCCCTTAGAGCCAGCGGCTGCGAGACAGCTTTCTTAGTGTGTCTCCACCTAAAGTTTGTGCTACAAAGTGGTTACTTTTTTAAAAAGCAAAGGTCATGTAGATACTTGTGTCTGGCCATTCCTGTTCCTAGCGCAAGTGTTTACATAAGCAGGAGGAGCCTTGGGATAGAAAGGTGAATGTGGGAGGATGAGCCGATTGTTTTGTCATCATAATAAAGATAAAAGCAGTGGGTCATTAGGGTTTGAAATACCTCTTGCTTCCCTAGGAAACCTAAAACGGGAATCTTGATGTTGAACATGGGAGGCCCGGAGCGGCTGGATGACGTCCACGATTTCCTGCTGCGTCTCTTCCTGGACAGAGATCTGATGACCCTTCCAGTTCAAAAGTGAGGGGCACTGGCATCTCCTGTGCTACAGGCAGTGTTGGGTGTTGCTGTCTGAGCTGCAGGTGGAGAGCAGCACTCCCTAAGACTGCTTCATCCTGGGAGCAGTCAGTGCAAGGGACAGTGCTGGAAGCCTCTGGATTAGGCATGCCGTGGCTGCTCTCTTTTAGCTGCAGACTGGGGTGTGGGAAGGGTGGTGGAATGGAACATGAAACAAGGCACGCTGCTTTGCTGTAATTTGCCCAGATGGCCGGGGAAAAGGTGCTGCAGCAGAGCTCTGGGGAGGGGGTGGCTCTGCTGTGCTGCTAACACGTCCCTCTCCAATGCTGCAGTAAACTGGCTCCGCTCATCGCCAAGCGCCGCACCCCGAAGATCCAGGAGCAGTACAGCAGGATCGGCGGGGGCTCCCCCATCAAGAAGTGGACGGCGGTGCAGGGAGAGGGCATGGTGAAGCTGCTGGACAGCATGTCTCCTCGCACTGGTACTGCTCTGCTCAGCCTCCCACGGGCTGCTTTTGCTCCATCTTGGAACCGTTTGCTTGAAAAGCAGCTTTGCCTTCTTGGTTTTCCTTGTGGGGTAGTGTGGATTTCCTCCCTGCCGGGAAGTCATGGCAAAGATAGTGCAGAAGGGATTCCATGCATTGTAAGGTTGTTATGGAAGGCTGGGCTTGGGGAGCCACCTCTGTCTCTCCTGTGATCATGGGAAGATAGATGGCTGTGGTGGACTAAGTGTGTTATTTTCAGGTGTCCAAAGGCAGGTGCCAGGAGTGTCCCTTGGTGTGTGGCACTGCCAGGCATCGTGCCTTGCCCTGCTTGAGCCTGAGGAAGCCTGCACTGAAGTCAAGTGGCTGAGGCTTAGAGGGGAAGAAAGGGGAATGTGTTTCATGTGAACCACTGAGGCAGGTATGGGAGGGGGGTGTTCAGAGTGGTGTTGTCAGCAGCTGCCGCAGGGCTGAAAGGAGGACAGCTGGAGAAAAGACAAGGCTTTGTAGATGAGCAGTGCAGGGCACGGCTGAGGATAGCAGCGAGCCACACCCAGGGACACAGCAGGAGATAAGGCTGGGCAGTTTGGCTGGCATGGAAGGAGATGCTCTCTCTGCCAGTCCTTCATGGTGAGAAAACTTCAAACATGAATACAGCCTCCTTCCCCTGTCTCTGTGTCACAGAATCCCTCCCAGCAGGGAGTGCTAACTGGTATGGGATAGCCTGTGCCACGCTGCCTGGTAGCGTGACTGTGGTGGGAAATGGGTGCAGGTGCTTCTGTCAATGTCCTTCCATGCAGGGCTGTTTTGTAGCTCTTTGTGGCACCTGCCTCAGGCTTGGCTAGAAAAAGGCTGGAGGAAAAGGACTGCTAAAAGGGTTTGGCAGGTTAAAAGCACTGTTCTTGGAAGGCTAGAGCCAAATTTATTTCATCCGTTCAGAAGGTGGCGTGTCACTGGAGTCTTCACTCAGGTGAGGTTCAGTCCTTTCTGCACAGATGTGACTGCCTAGCTTAATTTGAGCTGTGGTGCCTGCAGGTACAGAGCCTGAGGCCTGCTGTGTCATCTGAGGCAGGAGTGCTCTTGGACAGGAGCCCTGAAGGGTCAGCCTTGCAGCAGGTTCTGCAGATAAGGCTTGGAAAGTTTATCTGCTTTCCCCAGTGTCCCGCTCCCACTTGCTTTTGTGTGGTGACCACTCTCTGTGCAGTCACACCCTTCTCTGGGCACCTCGCCTACCTGATAAGTCCCTTGGAGGCTTCTTTTCTACCGGACAACAGCTGCAGTTTAACAATAGAATGTGCTGAGCACTGCCAACCATTTCCTTCAGCATCCCAAGTGACCGTGCAGAGCACTGTGTTCCTTCAGAACGGTGTGGACGTGTTGGATGTGCTTGCAGACAGCATTTGAGAATATGGTGTGCTCACAGGTAGCACTTTGGGAGTGCTGAGCCCTCTGAATGAGTAACTGGCAGGAGGTGCTGGCACCATGTGAAATGTGGCAAAAATAAATACTTTTAGGGTCATTTTGCCTTGATCAGGTGTGGGCAGCAAGTGAAACCTCAGTGTGTCAGCAGCAATGCTCTCATCCTAAATCCAGGCACAGCTTTGTACCAGCTGCTGGGAGGGGAACTGACTCTGTCCAAGCCAAGATCAGGACAGGACAGCACTATTATTTAAACAGCCTGTGCACAGACACCAACACCTCTCTTTGCTGCCCATGGTCCCGAACAGACCTGACACTGCGAGGATATTCCTTCCAGGCTGGCTGTGCTCTTCCCAGAATGTCCTTTCCCAGGTTAAACTCCTACATCCCTGCCGGG